CTATCCTATCATATTTAAACATCTTTTAAACTTTAAAGATTTTATAGATATTGAATTTATTAAAATGTCTACACATAGTTCACGTATTGGAGTTAGAAATATTGAAGAACACTCTCCATTATTTAAAATGGAATTAGTACTAAGTCCAGTTGAATTATCTTCATTTCATTTTATAAGTAAGTCTTGTAATTCATCTTTAACCCATATTAGTTCATCACCTCTTTCAAGTCCTGGTTTATCAAAACATGGAAAAGAAGATTATATTAAAGAATTATTCTTACAACCTAACTCTCCTTTACTTTATGCTTATTGTCATGTTTGTTTCTAATTTTATGTTCTTTCTTATTATAATAAGAAAAATAATTAAATGGAATAATAATAGTTAGTTAATTCAACAATCATCAAATCCTACTTATTCAAAAGTTCTTTTATCTTATTTCTTTTCTAGAGGTAAAATTGTTGATTTACTTATTAAACTTGCTTCAATCGAAATAGAAAATTCATTCTCTTCAAATGAACTATTCAGAAAAAATACTATCTTCTCTAGAATTTATAATAATTATACCAATCGTTATTGTTCTGAATTTCTTATTAGAGTTAAAAAAGATTTTGATTCTTCTTCTAATCATTTACTTACAGACTTAGCTTCTTTTATTCTTCAATATCTTAAATTTATTCCAACTCATTTTATTATCATTCTTTCAAAAATATTTCAAAAAATTACTTATGTCCATGATGAAATACAAACAAATAATGCTATTTGTACATTATTTTTTATACATTATTTATTTCCTTTTTTTAAAAACTATTCTGATATTCCTCGTTTAGGTATAGTCGAAGCTACTGAAGCTGTGAATTATATGATAACTAAAACAACAAAGTACCAACCAACTCAATTTAAAAATTCTGTTATTTTATTAATTCAATTAATCTCTTATTCTCCTTTAATGGTCGTAAGAGAATGTCAATTTAGTGTAGCTGAACAAGAACGTACAAAAAGAAATATGTTACTTGTACTTAAAACTGAATTAAAAGAAATTAGTAATTATTATAGAGGTGATTTTTGTTCAGTATTCAATTGTATTAAAGGTTCTTCATTAAAAGAACAATCAATATTATATTCTACAAAAGATTTTATTGATTGGTTAGAAGAAAGAGAGCAATTAATACGTTATGAAAATAATAATCTCACCAATAAGATCATTGCATTAAAAAAAAGAAATGAAAGATTGAAACATAAAATTATAAAAATAGAAAAATTAATATAATTCCTTGTTTCTATAAATTATTTAATACTATTCTTCTTTTTTTACTTATAAAAATAATTCAATAATGTTTAATTTCCTATATCATTTATCTCATAATATAATGTTATTGTTTTTATTTCTTTAATCTACTTTACTTAATATCTATTTAGTTTCCTTCCAATATTAATTTTTTCTTCTTATTTAAATAATAAATAATTAAATTAAATCAATAAGAATTAAAAAGAATAATGAAAATTCCTTCTTTTTTTCTTTTAGAACTAAATTCTTAATTTTTAGATAATGTTTTTCTTATTATTCTGTTGTATTTATTCTACTTTAGCTGGAAATGGAGTGAATGTAAAAGATCAACTTTTGATAGTACCATATCCTCAAAATGTTCAATTTAATAAAGGAAGTACAACTGGAATTGAAATTGATGAAACCTTAACATGAGCTTATCAACTCAATGCCAAACTAACCCCAATTGTTTAAGTTTTATGAAATTTAATTTTAATCACACAATAACTTTTCCTTTACAACAACAAAAAAATCTAAGAGACTTTAGAATTTCATTACATAAGGCAATTGATATTCCTCATATTATTCCTTTAAGTCCTAAATTCATTAAACAAGTTAATATTATTTTTAAGTCTTCAGATGAAAAAATATATTATCCATCAACTATTATCGGATCAGATGAATCTTATTCTCTTTCTATTTCTACTTCTTCTATTATTATTGAAGCTCAAACTGTTTATGGAGCAAGACATGCATTAGAAACATTACTCCAATTAATTCGACCAAATAAAAATACATTTGTTATTTCTCAATTACCAATAACGATCACTGATTCTCCAAGATTCAAATGGAGAGGGTTAATGGTTGATCTTGCTAGAAATGCTATTAGTAAATTAACTCTTGTAAAAACTATTAACGCATTAGCTTCATTAAAAATGAATGTTCTCCATCTTCATTTAACTGATTCTCAATCATTTATGTTTGAGTCATCTTCATTTCCAGAATTATCTAAACAAGGTGCATTTAATCAAGAAAATGTATTAAATAAGCCATTTATTATTCAATTAGTACGTTATGCGGCTTTAAGAGGTATTCTTGTTTATCCTGAAATTGATATTCCAGGGCATACTGCATCATGGAATCTTGGTTATCCAGGAGTTACTGTTGATTGTTGGGATTATCTAACATCAAATAAAGTGTTGTATGCTGAAAATAGAGTATCACTAAATCCAACCAATGAAACATCTTTTCATATAGTACGAACAATATTAAAAGAATTAGCAGAAACATTTGGAAATCAATATATCCATATTGGAGGGGATGAGGTTGATAATAACTGTTGGTTAAATTCAAAAGAATATCCTGTTATTAAAGAATGGATGAAAAAGAATAACTTTGATTCAATTTCTGATGTAGAAAGTTATTATAATCAAATTGCCCAAGAAGAAGTTATAAAACAAGGTGCCCATCCTATTGTTTGGGAAGAAGTTTTTAAGAAAGGAAATGCTAAAAAAGACTCAACAATCATTCAAGTATGGAGTGATATTAGACAATTAAAATTAGCAGTTGATTCTGGATATAAAGCAATTTATTCAGCTGGGTTATACCTAGATAGACAAGTACCTTTATGTAATGGATTTGATCCATCTTCTTGTGAACAACGATATATGTGGGTCTGGACAACAAGAGACTTTTACAAACATGATCCAACTAAAGATTTTACTGATGCTGAATTAGAAAATGTTTATGGTGGAGAGGGATGTTCTTGGGATGAAAGTTGTGATGATGAAAATTTCTTTGATAGAGTTTTCCAAAGATTTTCAGCTGTTGCAGAAAGATTTTGGAGTAATAAGAATCTTATTGATGATGAAAGTCATGAAGTTAGAGCAAATTATCTTCGTTGTTTAGGAAAGAGAAGAGGATTTTTAAAAGGAACAGGACCCTTATACACTTCATATTGTGACGCTAAATAAAGTTCAATTCACTCTTTTGACTTTATTTTTAAATTAGACTATTTTAAAAATACCATGGATTTATCTTTAAATTAGAATACATAGAACTAGAACAAAAAATGAAACAATTATTCTCATAATAGAAATTGATGAAAACTCTTATAAACATTCAGTAAATGGAGGTTCATGGTCCAAATTTCATCATTAGTACTTCATAAAATGGAAGTTTTACTAAAACTGTTACTATTTATTTCAAATTTTGATAATCTCATTATTACATTTATATGTTCAATATCAATAGAATTACTCAATTTAAATGAGTATTGTTGTTGATTATTATTCAAACTAACAAAAAGAAGATAATTAGTAAAATTTATTTTTCATTATTTAGTTTTAACATTTGAATATTAAGGAAGAATTATAAATGTATGGACATTCAATAGATAAAATATTGTTGGAAAGAACAACTTCTTTTGAAATTTTAATAATTTGTGACCTATTCTTTTAATAAATTTTTGATTTTTAAACATTAGTATTGAACAAATAATAATCCATTAGAACCCGAAACAATTCCCATTCATGCTATACCTTTTATTTCATGATAAATTAGTATTCTTCCATTTCCATTATAATATATCCACTGGGAATTTAGTGTTATATTCTTACAAATCCCTGCCCAATTATTGTAACTCCAATGTCCTAATTTGGAATAGGAAATAGATCAGAACCTAAAACATTAAAATATGTCTTAATTGATCAGCAAGATTAGGTTCTTTTAATATACTATAAATTAGATGATTAACATCTAATTCTCTAATCTTATTTGTGTGTTCTGTGATATAATTAATCAAACATCCATTTGTTTCTTCATTGATATAATAATTAAAAATCATACATTGTCTTTTTGAGAGTTGATTGCTTTAGTTAATTGTTGAAAGGCGTAATGATTCTCTGGTGAAATAGAACAAAATGAACAATCAATTGTATTAATTGAAATAGATGTTCCATCTTTAAAACATATATAGTCATTATAAAACATTACTCTTTGCATAAGTTTAAGTGTTTCATCACTTTA